TTTATATTCTTTTCATCCCCTCTTCCCTTCCACTAAATGTAAGTCTGTTAGTTAAGAGGTACAAAATTAATTTTGTGTACACAAAACCAGTATACATTGTCTATCACCTACCTGACCAGCCAGGAAATGTTTGCTACATTCCTGTTTTAAAATACAGAATTCTAAGGACCTTTGTTTAAAAGATTCTAAAAAGAAATAGCCTTGTGCTTTAATTAAGCATCCCAGTGACATAAACGGAATACCAATGCAGACACATCATTATAATGTATTCTTCTGGGGAGAATTTACTACAGAGGAATTCATACTTGCTGATACCATTTTCTTTCTCAGTCTTGTGAAAGCTCTATAAATTGTAAATGCTATATGTATTTTATTAGAGAACAATTCTGTCACTTCCAAACATGCTTGTCAGGCCAAAAGAAATTGATAGCAGAAGCGTTCATTTTTAGTGGTTTTAAACTACTTGAGGAATGTATGTAAGGGCTCACTTGCAGGTATTCATGTGCATAAACTCGCAAGGAACAGTACTGCTCTCTTTTGCTAACAAAGAACACTACAGCAAGTTTGACTATGGCAGTTTCTCAGAGTTAGAAGAAAATTAAATTTAAGTGCAGATTCAGTATGCACAGTGTTCTTGTGTTGTTTTTGGAATGGCTGAGTGCCTTGCCAACAAAGACTCCAATTATTTTCCACAATTGGCTCTTGAAAGCAAAGCATTCCTGGACTGTAGTCTAGAGGTTTACACCAAATGAGAGAAATAATCCTTCTACATAAGCAAGCTATTCTGATTCATCCTAAGTAATAATGGGAAATGTTATGATGGCGTGTTTTACAAAGAAGAAAAGAAATCCAGGAAGGCTGCTCAGATTCTTCCTACCATGTTGCTGTTTCAGACATGTGGGCGTAGGGTCATGCTTTTTGCAGTGGGAGAAGAGCTGGGTCAACACCTGATGTCCTGATTGGAAACTGACCATAGCAATGTAGGGCAGGACCTTCACTTGGTACCCTCGGATCTTTTGGACTGCAACATCCATAATCCCTGACCAATCACTATGCTGGCTAGGCTTGATAGGAGTTGCAGTCCAGAACATCTAACTGGCACCTGATTGCGTACCCCCCACCCTAGCTGTACTTAAAAGTAATCCCACCAAAATCACTGAGACTTAAGTTATTAGTAACTTATGTTCCATTGATTTTGATGGGTTTACTCTAAGAAAGACTAGGTCTGGATCCAAACTTATGCACTCATTCTTTTGTGGAGTGGATCTCTGGAAATAACATATCTGCTGTATTGTCCAAAGTGCTATTCATGTATTTTCTCCAAGAAGGAACATTGGTAGAGTATGCACACACACACACACACACACACGTATACTTCAGAGGTTTTCTAATCCAGATGTGGACAACTTCAAAAACAGCCTATTTTTCTGCATCTGTACTAATGGAATTTGTCAGCAAATTTGATTGAAAATAGGGGGAATTCTCTTTTGCTGTTGCATTGCAGAATTCTGAAAATAAATGAGGGGGTGCAGGCCACAAAAAAGACCAAAGGGAGCTGCAAGTTGCCCGCTCCTAATGCTTATGTGTACATACTAAGACCCTTAAATGCGTACAGATGCTTGTATTCAGGCTCCTTTTGAAAGAGTATAATTTTCACATTTTAACCAAGGAACTAACATTTAAATGTTCATAACACTCCAAGGACTTTTTTAAAAAGCTGTGCCACAATATCAGCTTTCACTAAGAGGCAGAAAACTAAAAAGCAAAATGAATTGCCAGCCACATCCATCCAAGCGCTATGCAGCAGATCTTCATTTCGGAATATACATGTGGTTAAGCAGACCAAATAAAATGGCACTGCATTTTAGCAGCCAAGCCTAGGACTGGAGCTTTGCCAATCGTTCTGAAGGACAACAGCCAAAATTCAGTAAGTTATTATGATGAACTCAAGGGTGTTGGCTCTAAAGTGATGTACAGGTGCAGAATGCTCCCTCCTGTGGCAAACAGCAGGTCCAAAATGTAGGCAAGTTCTCTTGATTGTAGCTTATCATTGCTTGAGAGAGTGCTTGGAAGAACTGGTATGAAGCATTTTTCATGGGAAGAAACCTTGAGTACATTCATGTACATTCATTGAGGCCTAGTGGTTACAGTGTTGGACTGGGACACAGGAGATCTAGTCTCCACTCAGCCGGAAGGCTCACTGGGTGACTTTGGGACAGTTTCAGACCTTCGGCCTAACCTACCTCACAGGATTGTTGTTGGCAGAATAAAGTGGAGAGGAAGAGCACCTTGTAAACTGCCTTGGGTTCCTTGCAAGAGAAAGGAAGGCAGGATAGACATGTAGTCGTCCTCACAGTAGTCGTTACATGTGGAAAGTCATCTTCAGGTGCAGTTGGGAAAGACCCCTGTCTGAAACCCTGGGCAGCTGCTACCAGCTACTGTAGACAACACTGGCCCAATGGTCTGATTCAGTACAGGGAAGCTTCTTAGAACTCAAGAGTTAGGCACAGATGTGGAAACTATCGTATCCATTAGCAAAAATATAAAACCTACATGAAGTAATGAGCAATGGTTCAGGATGGGGTGGACAACATATGCCCCCTCCAGATGTTCTTACTCACCACTCCCATCATGCTTCATCTGTGCTATGCTGATGAGAGCTGCAGGCCAGAACAATAGGAGAGCTACAGATTGTCCACTCTTGGTTTAAGATGCTGCCACATACCTGTATTTTTATAGTAGTTGCATCCATGCACTGGCCTTGTATGGAAATCAATTACTCTAGGCCACTTTGTCAGACAGCTTCCTTCCATATTAGCAACTAGCTAATATGGAAGGAAGAATTCTAATTGTAGTAGAATTTGCTAGGCAGGATGCAGGGGAATGGGGAAAGGAATGAGTGTGTGCCATTAATCCTGTTTTCTAAACTGGAAAGCGTAAAACAGTGCCTAATCTGGTTCCCCCCGTGATGGAAAAATCACAGGTGAGAGAATTACCATCAGCAGAAAAGTCTTAAGAATCTCTCGTCCTCTAAGCAGTGACCACTCTGTCTTTATTCAGTCTGGCAGCAGAAGCAGATTCTGCAGGGAAAGAGCTCAGGAAAGACAGATAATCTGGACTGTAGTCAACACTGCACTGCCAGTGATGCGGGGTCAGTCCCACAGAACATATGCCTCCCTTAAACCTGGCATTCATCCGACCAATCAGAACTTTAACAGAGTCTAGAATCATAGCAGCATCCCGGGGCGGGGGGCGGGGGAAGCACACAGATTAATCTGGAATACGAAAGCCCAGAGATCGTTGCATGCTACAGTGACTGCAAACACCAATTAGTGTTGCATAGCATTATAATGCCAGATCTTTCAATGCTCTGTGCTGAGTATTTTTTATAACAGAAATGTGAGTTTCTACTTGAACTGAATACAATGAAGTCATAGGTGATTGATTTTTCATTAAGCAAACCATGACTTAAAACTGACTATGATACAGCTTTACAATCCTCAATTACAACAGTAGTATACCACCTTATGGGTTTTATTATGGCTTGTTAAAGATACGCTTCCCTATCTTACAGATGCTCAATTTTAAAATGTAAATGGTACAGGATATTGATAAACCAATTAGCACTGATGCAAAGCAAATTCCTCTTTTATCTCAATTACAACATGACAACTTAATAGGTCAAGATAGTCTAACATCTGAGACAAGGGCAATTCAATAAAACAACTGCATCTTGATATGGTAATTAAGAGGAAATGTGAATCCATTATCCTGCCTTTGGGGTGCATATGTGTGCCTGTGTTAATATAAATATATATTTACATGGATATAGGGGTATATACATACTTGTATATACTATTTGTCTATACTATATACTGTACTTTTTTCTTTTTAAAAAAATCAAAGCAAAGGTTATTTTTTTAGAATCTAGATCCACAAATAGTGAGTAGTTCTTAGTAAACAGTCAAAAGGACACTCCTAAAACAATGCTCACACATGTGCACACACACACAAATCATTAGGAGGCATGTTGTGGAAACTAACAGACATAGAACACATTAACACATAAGGCCAATTCATGGATTTTGCAGAAAACATGCGTTCAAGGTCTGGGTTGTTTAACCCTCAGCAATACAGAGTACTGGGTTCAGATGTGATGGCCACAACCCAGAAAAGGGTATTCCTGGGTTGTTTAGTAAAGCTAATGGAAAAAAATGAAGCAGTAAGCACATAGGAGGCAGACTGTTCACTCCTGCACCAGCCCAACAAGCCATAGTTTAAAAAATAAATTAGATGTGGTCAGGGCCACACAATAAATGGAATCCAAACGGACACAGTTTTGCAAGTTACATTAAATGCCTATTGCCTATGTGAAAACCCACTGGCATGGAAAACATGTACAACACAAAACCTTAAATGTTTTGCCAAGCTTGGCTAGACAGTCTTTTAACAACTGTCTCTGTTCCAGTGCAACTAATAAAATACCCACAGGTATAAAAGTCATACCACAGTGACAAACAATTACATTTTTGAGAGGAGAAGGGGTATTATTTTTAACTCACATCTGTCAAACTTGTGGCTCATGCTTATACACAACATGCTGGCTTGTAGTTTGGCCTGAAAATGTTAATATTTGCAACTACAGGTCACAAAAATGGATTTGTCAAGTGCATGGTGGATCACAGGAAATAGCTTCTATGTTACATAAATTTCTTTACACATTTCATCTGGAAATAAGGAAAGAAGCCTCCATATACAATTTAATAAACTCAAAATATAGTTTTATTTTATGGCTTTGCAAAGAGGTCTCTGCTTCTTGAAATCCTGCCCAAGATTAACAATGACTTGATTGTTTTTTAAGTGTTGTAATAATGAAATACTACACTTGTGCTGCAGTTAATTTACATCTTTGAAACATCATTCTTTCCATATAGACAATCAGCCAGAAAAAACACTTAAAGACAGCCAATATAAAAAGGATATAATAAAATTCAACACACCTGATTCCAAGATTCATAGTCTCAGCAGTTCCAATCATACTGATGGCTAATAGCATGTTGTTGCAGATTTTTGCAGCCTGAAAATAAATTCAATACCCCATGAATTTCTATTTTACCCAGATAACTACCAGACAGGAACTCAATTTAACTACAAATGAATTTGTTCCGCACTCATTATCTAGAGCAGACAGCAACAAGTTTTCATGCACCATGAAATAAAAAGATCAACTTTTGGGGGCATACTTGCACAGCAGTTTCATATGCAAATATGTCTGGTCAGACGTATGGCTACTTAATAGTAACTCCCATTGAGTTCAACAGGGTTCATCTTGGTGCACTTCTGATGCATTTGCTTCTTCACTATGCCCTTTTAGACAAAATGTTGGTGCCGCACTTTAATAACCAACCCAAAGAGTGGTGTTACCAAGCAGTTTATCAGAAGTGCCTAAGTTAAATGTCTTTTGAGATTTAATATGCATTCATCACACATATAAAATGGACTGAGAAGTTAGTCCATACATTTGTATGTTTTATAGTCCAGTTGACTGGGTATGTCCTTCTCATGCTCATTACAATTTGTATTTCATGTTGATGTTTATCTTCCATTCCACATCCACCCAGACATTGAGAGCTTGAGGATGGATAGGATTTAAGACTCTTCCTACAGCAGCTCATTCTACAATATACCAACTGATCTATGAAGTGTCCACAGATGTGTCATCTATTTTAATTGAAAATATTTAGCAGCTTATTTTAATAAATTCCAAGCAATGCATACAGTAGGAACAATGAAGCTACTGAACAATTAGAAAATACCTTTTAAAAAGCTAAACCACACATGCAACATAACAGAAGGAAACCTGACAACTTGATTACTAAAGGCACACCATTCTTCTTAAATTGTCTGCAAAAAGATAGAAAGAGGCCAAATGAACTTCCCACAAGAGCTCTAGAGAAAAGGGTTTGCTTCTTGCGGAGGTCAGTCAAGTCTCCAGAAAAGGTTCAGAGTGTTAGTAATAGATCTTGCTGGGCTGGGTGCTGATTTCAATTAATAACCAATTTAACTGAGGATCTTGGTATGAGATTTAGAGGTGGGAAGGTCAGAGAACTCACTTGCGTTGTTCAATAATGGGAAGTAATGCTTGAAAGGGAAACAAAAGCCAAGTAGGATGTCCAGGAATGAGCCAAACCATACCTGTCCAGTTCCAACTTCTCCACAATAGATCACATTGGAACCCATGCACGTGAGCAACTCCTTTGCTGCATCAAATTCTTGCTCTACTCCCCCAACCATGAATGTAAGATTTCCTGCACGAGCAGCTCCAACACCTGAAGTTAAAAAACAAAATCACTTATGAATAGTTACTTCTTTTCAGATGGCTCCATCAGGAGCTGCTTTATAATGCACCCATGCAAAGAGTCTTCCAAGTCCACCATGCCAACCATGGACTTGGAGCTAAAACAGTTAAGTCGGGCAGTTTCCACTTGTGCAGCCCAACCCTGAAAGCACTTACCAAGAAGTCACTGAGTTCCATGAAGCTTACTCACCTCTGCACATGCACTGGACTGCAGCCTTAAGTTACCTGGCATACAATCATTACTAAAGGAAGCATTGTGGCTAGCAATGAATAGAATGGTAAGATGTTTCAGAAAACCAGCTTCAGCAAATAAACTTAGGATAGTTGTTCTGCTGACTGTTTTTCATGGTCAAAACTATCAGTTCATTCCCAGTTTTAAAGGAACATATGTAACAAGGGCAGCAGATGCAATTTTTAAAAATTCATCCCAAAGCAACATTAGAGATTGCAAGCAATTTCTCAAGCAATACAGCTAGGAAGCTAGATGCTAAACCTATCTGTGTCATGCATCAAACAGTCCCTATTGGAAAAGACAGTTGTAAATAATGACCTAGTTTTGAATTGAATATATTTTACTATAGTCTCCCCTTTTTTCTTTCTTTCACAAATGAAAGGAAGTCAGATGTCAGAACATCCACACTCCTAGTGCCTTTATCAATGAACTATAATAACTCGATAGAGTAAAATCTAGAGTGAAAAATGTAGATATACATCTCAATCCTATGATTATTCAGAAATCAGACTAGTGCTTACTCCCTAATTAGCTTTAGATTGCAGCGTTGGGTTAACTGATCCAGTGGTAATATTATTGAAAGTCTGAAAGTTTTGATTATTATGAAGGGATTTATCACCATGCTGTACCTAATGTCATGTCACTCAAGATGTCATATAACAAATCAGGAATAAAGTGGAGGTACAGTCAGGCTCAGACTAAACTACAAACAACTGCTATTACATCAAAAGTCTTAATGGTGAGCATCTAGTGCATTTATCAAAGAGTGAGGGTGAAAAGACCCTAGACATCAAAATATAAATTAAAATGTAAAACTCAACCCTAAAGATAGACAAAAGAACATGTCTCAAAGAAGCCACAAAGAAGGAAATCAGCTTGTGAAAGCCATTTGCACTTCAGTCAAGTACCCAAAACAGAAGTACTTTCTTGGGCACAGCAAAAATAAAACAAACAAAAAGAAGCTCCTTTCAAAGAAAAGATGTTCTACTCCTATCTTTCTTGCAGAATTGAAAACTTAAAAACAGAAATCTAACATAGATAGCTCAATAACTTTGTAACAGCTTGCTAAGCAACTCCAGAGAGCCATCTATAAGAGCAAACTGAATGCTGACAATAATTCTCAGCTTGTTAGTCTTCCGACAAGTCATTTTGCTGTGTTGAGCCTGGCTCCAATGCCACTGCGGGCTCTGAAGCAGACTCTGATTCAGGCAGAATAATTGGAGCCCGGCCCCATCACGGGAAACTCAATGTCTGAGATTGTGCCTCTGTTCCATCTCTCTTCTGATTACAGACCACGCCAGCCTCAGCTGTAAGATAAGGCTTTGAGACAGACCTCTCTGATTTCTAGCCTGAAAAATCTTTTGTGAGAACTGAGCAGGGGAAGGTGACTGCAAGGGATTTGAGAAACATCACCAGGTTGATGCCTTTTTCAACATAGTACATACTGATAGACCAGATTTACTGCGAGGAAATATAGTCAGAAGGCCTGCTTCGGCTGATTTTTAAGCTGGTGCACAATCTAGAAACAATGTCTCACTCTTCTTTTGACTCACCCTGTCTTTAATGCCTGTACTAATCCTGAAAACTTGGCCCTTCACCTGTCTGGAATCTAGCATAGCAGAAACCCTAATGAGAAACATTTTTTCTGTCTAGGACTGAATCCTGGATTTGGCCAGCCTGGGCTCCCGTTTCTCAAATGGCAGTTTGCATGGGAACATCTCTACTGCCCAGTTCTCTCTGCTTAGACCAAGGGTCGGCAACCCGTGGCTCTGGAGCCGCACATGGCTCTTGAACCCCTCTGCTGCGGCTCTGTCGCTCAAAATACGCACCGGCACAGCCGCTGATCCACTCAGGAACTAAGCGCTAGCTAGTTAAGTTAGCTAGTTAAGTAAATCGCTACATTTCTCTGCTAAACAAGCTTCCTGCAGACTCTCATGTTACACGAAACTGCTGAAAAGATTCTCTTTGTCCCAATGTAATCTCCTTCATCTGAATGTTAAAAGCTGAACTTGGGACCTGTCACAATTCACAGCACTTGACTGTTTATCTGCTAATCAGTCACTAAACACACCTATATCTCCAGCACTGCAATTTACTGAGCTCTCCCCACCCCACCCCCGCCAGCCAGGCCAACCATGGATAAATCGAAGAAAAAGGAAACGTTTCTGAAGACAACCAAACGTTTAATGATACATGGGTAGATTCATTTGCTTTTACTGCTGACGAACTTATGGGGTTTGCTGTTTAATCCATGCAGCCCTTTAGCACTGACTTTGACTCTTCAGGAAGCTGTTCTCCTATTCAAAATATATGAAAGGAGTCCTACTAGTTTATAATGTAAGATTAAAAATAACAGTTTTTAGTGACTGAACAAGAGCTGCAGCTAAATCATAATGCAGATATACATAGCATTAAGGTGAAAAACAATGTATCAGTGTTATCTTCATTTCAGATGTCAAAAGGGTTTTGCGGCTCCCTGTGTTTTCATTTGTGTGGTAAACGGGTCCAAATGGCTCTTTGAGTGTTAAAGGTTGCCTACCCCTGGCTTAGACCAAATGCCACCTTAATTGTCTAAGATGTCTTCCTGAACTTATCATTAAGACTTGAGACTCTTGCCTGTCCTGGAACTTATATCTGGAACTGGAGGAAAGATGGCAAACCCAAAGATGGAATGTCAGCTGATGCTGCCTAAACTCCTTCCTTGTCTAGTCTTATTGTGAACTGTGAACCCTTGCCTATTTGCGTCTTATACTATGTGACAGAACAAAGGGCTGGAGAGTTTGTGTTGGGGACATTGTCTTAACAGCCTGGACAAATCATGTACATTAGATATTTTGTTTTAATTCTGTAAAGTAGGTTTCTTGATTTGCACTACAACACTGGACTTTCACATTGGCTGCAGTTCTGAGTGATTTTTGGCCTTGGAACTGTCTCTTAAACAGAACAGCATGCTGGTAGTTTAGCTTAAACTACAAGATTTATGATGGAGATAAAAACATGTAAATCCAAGCACTATAATCTCTAAAGTGCTGATCTGTGTATGTTGTTCTGCTACAAGAAAGAGCATCACTGGGATGGTTATCTGTGTTGGGCTGCCCAAAGTGTAACAACTGCCTGCAAGCTGCCCCCCACACACCTTTCCAGCAATCTGCTCTGGCCTCAGGCTTAATATATCACTGTAGACTAGACTTACCTGGCCCTTGGCAAACCAGCAGCCTCCTAGGGCATGTAAGCAAGCCCACCTGAAAAGGGGGTACACCCCTTTGATTTATCCCTTCAGGAGGCCATGAAGGAGAATGTGTGCCTCCTATTTTCCTCTTTCTTGTCCCTAGGTTGGTACCTGCTAAATGTGCACATGAGTCAAATGTGGATAAGGAGGCTGTGGGAGACCCAATTAGAGGAGAACTAGCTGGGTATAAGAGAAACACAGAGCAAACAGCTAATAATGGTGCTATAATCCAGTCCTCCTTGTACCTGTAGGTTTGATGACTGCCTGCCCTCAGGCATCTGGATGCTGCTTTTGAATGCATATCAGTGCAGAATAAAATTTCCCCCATCCCTGATTTAATAGTGTATGAAGCAGCCAATCTGGTATGCATAACTGACACCTTGGTGGGAGGAGTTAACCCCCCCCCCCCCATTGTGCCCACCAGGACACTTGGTTAAGCATTGGGTTCTCTAAAGGACAGACACAGGGGGTTGCTGTGGTCTACAGGAATTCCATCTCTCTACATGCACCTTCTCTGTCTGATTACTAGTGTGGAATGTTTGTACTGGGCCAGCAGGACAGATTGGGAATTCTGCTGGTCCATGACCCACTCTGAGATGACAGAGATGGGGTCCTTAGGCTGATGGTTCTACGTTTCTATGTTCTCAAGGATTTCAAGATTCATGTTGAGGACATCTTTTCTGGGATAGCTCAGGATTTCATGACCTCAGTGACAATCATGAGACTGTCCTAACATGAACATGTCATTGGTCCAACACAGGTAGCATACTCTAGATGTACTATTTTTGGCCAGACATGAAGATTGTGCTGTGAGTGTGGGACTTTGATATAGTGTCTTTGTCATGGTCAAATCACAGCATCCGAGATCTGACTGACAGTAGTTTTTCTCCTCTGCAAAGGTGGGAGACAGCTCCCAGAGGCAAATGGATCTGGACAGTTTCCAGAGGCCTGGGAGGGGAGTTCTGGCTGATATGGCTATCATTCTGTCAAATATCTGATTGAGCTGTAGAACACTAAGCAAATTTAGTAGTCATGAAATAAGAGGCAAAGTCCAGTTATGGATCAATAACTGGGTAAAGAACAGAAGGCAGAAATTTCTCTATATAAAATAATGTAAACAGTCAGATCCCATAGGACTCTTGTATTAGGAACCATGATTTTCAACCTTTTCATACATGACCTGGAAAGAAGAGGGAGCAGTGAAGTGACCAAATTTGCTGATGATATTGAATTCTTTGGGGTGGTTAAAACCAAAAGGGATCATGAGAGATCTCTCAAAGCTGGGAAAACACACACCAAAATGGCAAATTCAGTTCAATGTAAACAAGTGTAACGTAAAGTACATTAGGAAAATTATAAGTCAATGGGATCGGAGCTAAGAGTGACTGACCAAGAAAGAGATCATAGAATAGTAGGGTTTGAAGGGGCTGTGAAGGCCATTGGGTCCAACCCCCTGCTGTTGCAGGACATCAATTTACACCATCCCACTCAGATGGCTGTCCAGTTACTT